CCTATGCATTGTTTGAAAATGGATGTTGAGATACTCACCCTCTCCAGTTCAGCATTTATCCAAGGTGTGATCAAACAGTGTAAGCCCAACTCCACCTTCAAAGCTCACAATGTTGGGCAGCTGCGTTCCATAGAAGATGTACATACCTGCAGGTCCTTGTACTAGGCCCAGGAGGGCATTCGCTTTGCACAAAAATTTTAACTGACCTTATTTAACCCCTGTTATCCTTCCAGGGAGACTAGCTCTTTTATGGCACTTTTCCACTGCCACCAAGAACCAACAAACTGTACCGCAAACTGGCTGTTTTCCATCGCAATGTATGCGAGCCGTACCGAAGCCGTATCCGGGCTGTAACCAGGCTAAAATGGTCCGGCTTTCTAGCAGGGCCTGAAGCGCGACCAAACCGAGCTGGCTGCATCACCAACATCTGATTGGTTCGAAATGCATTTCTGGAACATACCAGTGTTCTACACATAGATTTCTCAGAAGGAAAAAGTATATATTCTATTATTTATTCATTATTAGTGGTATCGCACATCGCAAAGCATTTCCAAAAGCTTTCCAACCTCCTACTTAAAAAAGTACACAGCTGAATGGGATGGATTCGTAATGCAAATTTACACCATTTAATACTTGCATCACACTGCAATTCTCACAGATGTGCTAGCAGAAATTAGCACACAGTACAAAAGAAATAATCGCACATAATAAATCATGGAGTGTTTCTCAATACCAAGAACACCAAGATTGTACTTGTGATCTTGGCAAGACCGGTCTTGCTGCCTTGTCTTCCAGGAAAGAACTTGGGGTACAATGAATCATGGGATTGGTCTTGTTTGGCGAGGATGTAACATATGTATCCTTGATATTTGGGGCAGGGCAAGAACGACATCCGGGGATCTTTACTCTCCTCAGTATTTCTGTTCTTGAGTATTGGAACTGGTCTACAGCAAAGGAAGATGACGTGAAACAGGTTCACAAGAACATAAATATGGTCAAGAATACATATTGAGAAATACCCATGATGCACACATTGTGAAGAGTAAATAAGCATCTTTCGGTTTTACGTTACTGCCACTCTTCAAACTCAGCAACGCCTTTACCAAGCCGACCCTTCTGCAGTGGAAAAGCAAAGCGAGCTGGAACCATGTGGTAACTAGTGTCTCTTCGCAGTAAGGCTTGGGTATGGCTTGGTTCCTGCATGTCAGTGGAAACGTGCCATTAGAGTTTAATTTTCTTCTTCGGGTGTATAAATTGTCTTTTTTATTTTTTTGCTTCTCAGTACTTTAGGACAGGCTGTGCTGAATAATAATTTTCTGTACTGTGTCTAAGTACTACATGAATCCGTATTGTTTTGTCAGAAATTAGTTTCAGCAAAAAAAAAGTTGGCAGCTAGAAATGATTACAGTTGATATAAAAAATAGTAACAAAAAAAACTCTTTGTCTTTTTGTTCTTGTTCCCCAAACGCGGAGATATTTTCTTCTAGGAAACCATATTAACCTGTATAATCTGGGGCTGCTAGCAACTTTATGAGTCTTATCTGTGAGTAGCTGTGATATTAGCATTAATGGCTAGCAGAGTCTATGGTGTCAAGCTCTGCAATGGGGAGCCATAATGCTACGAGCCAAAGGCATTTAAAGGCCAACAGTGAAAGTGAAACTGAGGGCTATTGGATATCCCACCTCAGGCATACTGATGCCAGGGAGGCAGATGAGGAACATTTCGGAGGGTGGGTACTGACTTGGCTAGGCTTGGACCATACTGCACTTGGAAAACTGTACATGGAGGGATTGCTTTTTAAGTTCCGTCACCATACTGTATGCAGTGGTATAATGTCTGGACGGCATTACAAATTAGACACTGCAAAAGCCTAATGCGGGCTGGATGCCAACCGGGCTAGAGAGTGACAGTAAAGTTTGCTGACAGGGGGGCGGAGTCATGGCTGTTAAACTTCTTGCTGGCTAATTGTACCGCTGCTGAATAGCTTAACAACGTATTTCCGGGACACTGTGCATCAGCCGCAATGCACACAGGGGACTGCTGTCAGTTTGCAGGAGATTCCCAGAATTTACGGCAGAGGTCTGGGCTATAAGGGCAGACTGTGACAGGCATTGTTTAATTTGTTTACTCTGTTCACCCAGGGTGCTGATTGCTTCATTTAGAAACTGAAAAAACTGGCCTGCTGCTTGTGCATTAGCCCCAGCCTTCTGCTCCTGACGTGGCTATTGTTCAACCCAGACACACATAGCAATCCCTAATCTTTGTTTTCTACCTACAGGTTACTGGAAAATGGAGATATTATTGTTGAAAGGATTTTTTTCCTCTTTCACATTTAATACTCCTCGTTTAAGTGACAAGTTTACCTTCCACAAAGATAGCTAGACCCTCCTGTCCTGTACCTAATTATTTATAGCCCTGTGACGCAGGAGCTGGTTACCACTGGTTTTGTCTGCTGGCTGGAATTGTTCCAGTCCTGATACTGGCTGGCTTGGGGATGCTGTTGTCCAGGGAACGGGAATGTTTGGGACACTCCATGCTTTCAGGATGATACCTCTGATGATTTACTTACCGTATTTATTTATTTACTATTAATGTCTGCACCTTTGCAAATAAAGGCCCATTTGACAGACAAAAAAAAAACTTGTTTATAGCTTGAAACACTGATTTTCAGTAACAGCTCGATTCGTGCCTGGAGTTCAGGACACGTTGGACACAATGCTAGAGTACCAGAAAGCATATTCTCATTATGGGCTATTTGAAAGCACCAGTCCACCTACAGTACAAAACATGCCTTTGGACTGTGAGAGAAAACCAATATTACCTCATTGCATAAGCTCTGCTATTCTCCAGTCATTGATAAAATCTCATTGAACATATTAACCTGTATAATATGTCATTTTCCAAAACAAGGGACACAATGGATTCAATTTCAACACGTAGGATTGTAAGACACAAGTTGTGGTTCCATGTCTGACATGTGGTGGGGCTTGGGGTTCTGTAACAACATCACCACAGGCCAAGGCCTCTCAGTGACACACCGGGATTCACCATAGAAAAGCACTTACTGTACTGAATAAAAAAAAAAATGCACAATGTACAATGCGAGTAGAGCATAGATATCAGATGTTGCAACAGACCGACTGCAGCTGCTCAGAACCGCAGCTGTGAATGTCAAATTTGGTCTTCTTCGCGACGGACTGGAGCTGCCTTTTCCAAATCAGCATCATCAGATCATCTTTCTGCCTCGACTCTACGAGTGGAGATTTCTGAGAATTAAGTGGCCTTAGTGCCCCAAGACAAAACAGAGATGGGGGAATGTTTCCAACCATGTGCATGAAACTGTGAAGCACGTTTGAGGAAGGTCTGTTTACTTCTCTAGTCCACATTGCTTACTCTGGTACAGTGCACTCTCGCAACGTAAACCCCAAAGGCTACACAAAATGCTTCTTCACAGCTACGCAAAAACTCAAGTGAGCTAAGTAATCTTACATGTCCAGAGAATATAAATAATGTTTTTTATTTAATTTCTCTCACTTGTGAAGAATTTGAGAAAGTCAGTCCTACCCATTAATGTGTTTCTTCATGTTATATTTCTAATATTTCTTTTGAGTGTTGTTTTGAGTGTGTCTTCTGCTGTCTGTGAATTCTGTGATGAGATCATTTTCGTTTCTGTCCTTGTTCTGCAACTCGCCAGCAGTACTGCATGCAGTAATGAACAGATATAATGAAGTATCTGAATTTTATATTTATATACAGATATGAAATCTGGGTAGTCTTTCCTTCTAGCTAAACACCCTGGCCTGTGTTTAAATAGGGACTATGCAGATAAAATTGATATAACAATGAAAACTGCAAAGGGTGGAAACATTTCTGCCGTGGAAACACTCAAGCTGTGGAAAGTCAGACTTTTTTCATATCTGTAGGCATTTAACTCCAATCAAACTAAAATATGACCTGAGGTAAAATGCAAGCTGTCGCTAGCTCTGTAAATAGGAGCTGCATGACAAGTTCTTGTCTGTGTTTTCATTGGCCTTCTTTAACAACAGCCTTTAAACGCTGCTTATCTCACCACTATTTGTGTGCAGTGATAAAGCCTGGCTGAATGCATGTGTTAGAATCCATGTTATTTCTGAAATTCATTTGATTCAATTCGATTAACATTCTTTATGACCTCTGTGGTTGGACGACATTTAAAGGTTTATTTAAATAAATTGTTGGCACACTACAGATACACGGGGAACAATATGATATCATGTTTATCTAAAACTTTAAAATATTATTGTCTGTTTGGATAAATTCAAGATAAATATAAGAAGGTATAAGATAAGGCTTGTTGTGCGAAAGCTTTGGCTCATGAAGTTACAAGAAATTACCTAAATCAAATGGATGTTCTATGAAAAAGAAAATGCTTGCTGTATAGTATGTTATCCATTTTTGCTTTATTTTTCATACTACAAGTGAATATTTTGATAATGTAAATTAACATTGACACATTAGCATAATATAAATTAACACTGACACTGCAACTCTAATGAATAAATGGTTTTGGAATATGGATAAATGGATGGATGGATGGATGGATACTAACACGTTTCCTTTGATGAAAAAGGCAATGTGTGCTGTAAGTAATCCGTCAGCTAAATTTTTCATCAATTCACTTAGTGAAATAAACGTTCCATTGATTCCTGATGGACTGATAGACTGGCAGCCTGCGAACGGCGCCCCCTTGCCTTATGCAGGCTCACTGCAATCCTTAACTGGAGAAGCGTTATGGATGTTTGATCTTCTGCATATTAGTTTACTATTGGCATCTTTGTTTAGACCTATATTATAATTTGGCAGTTTTCCACACATACAATATAGTACAATGTAGGCGTCCTGTCATTTTAAGGGACTCCGGGGATACCACTTTTAGGGCGGATCCATATTTTATACGTCACGGGTATGTGGCCAGCCATCCAATCATCGCCGCCTTTGTATCTACGCAGACCCAGGGTGGTGGGTGTGAATAAGCGGTGTTCTCTAGTTAGGGTAACGCCGATACTTACTTTGCGATGGCCTTTAATAATTCATAACCACAGTGCGCAGCCAATCGGGCCGCGTCTATGTTAATCCTCGCACTTTTAAAGCCGTTTGTAGCCTAAGTGCTAGCATACTGTATGAAACGTGTTTTGGTGGAGGGGAAGCTCGTATATTGGAAATAGTCTAACGTGCGGAGATTAATACACTTTAGTTAGGACAGAGAATCGCCAGCGATTTATTATTTAAAGCATTCAGTCAGATCTGTAACAAACATTTTCTTGCGTTTCAGTAGCTTGTTAATTCTGAGATTGTGACTTTTCGGCGAGAATAAACGGCATAAATAAGCTCTACTGCGTTTTGGCTGGGTGTCACATCGCCATGTCCTCCGGTGATGCGTCGGAGCAGGGTCGGCGATTCTGTGTACTGTCCTGGGAGCAGGTGCAACGTTTGGACTCGATCCTTGGGGAAACCGTCCCCATACATGGGCGCGGAAACTTCCCCACACTCTCAGTCCAACCGCGACAAATCGTGCAGGTAAGGTGACAGCCGGAGTGACATTTCGCTAAATCTCCGAGGCGCATTACGCGAAACCAAGGCGGTAGCTGATTAAAGCTCGGCTTACTTACTCCGGATGATCTGTCCATTGCGGCTGAAATTATTATTCACAACTCCTGCCGATTTTACGATTGTTATATCTCTTCCCTATGGTGTTATATTCACACACTTGGAAACTACGCAATAAATAGGAACTATATCTACAATTTTATGTCTTGACAGTTTCAAAACGTGTTAGGAGTATTCCCATGCAGTATAACTAAACTCTCATATTTAAGACTGATAGATTGATAATCGTTTTTTATTATTTAAACATTCGCCTGTTAATAAAATTAAAGCCCATATTATTGCAAATAAGATTTCAATGGTTCGGTATTTCCGCTTGAAACAGCCAAATCCACAAATTCTGCTGTGCTGAAATAGCACAGACGGTTTTTTTCGAGAGTCGACTTAAATGCAGACATGAAAAGTGTTAATGCTGGTAGTATTTTGTGAATGAACGACGCACTGACACCGATTTACTCCCCGTTACGGTTTAGTGAAACTCAATCCTCCTCATTTTCCAAGGTCTAGACGTTTTGCGTGAAATCGTCGCCACTTTTTATTCCCATTATAAGTTGCCACTGCCTTTATGAATGCAATTAAATTTCAAGTTTTAAATGATTACAGCCGTCTAATTCGTTCTGTTTATAATCCTTTCCTTTGTATAATATTGCTTGCCGTCTCTGGTACTTTGGATATTTATCTTTCTGAAAGCCTTTATACACAATATGACGCGTGTGTGAAAGGGAAGCTCCATGAAAGGATTAGTCTGATATTGTTATTTCTGTTTTTTTTTTTTTTTAAAGCTATTTACGTATTTTGTCACATATATTTCCTCGTGAATGTATTGACGTACGCATTTTAAATGACATCAATAGCTAGGTCACTGGTTTATTTTTGGCAGAGGTGTATTACAGTGGTGCTCATTCTCCGACATATTTCAAAGGTTCCAGTTTAAACCGGCGACAATTTCATCCTTTTATTACGAGCTGTTTTTTAAAAAAAAAATTTTTTTTAAATCAAATTTATTGTTGATTTACAATATTGTATTAATCTTAAACTCTGCATCAACCAATATTTTGGCTTTAGCAAGATAAACGGATGTGTTAAACTAAATTAAACTATAGAGGAAGTATGTGTAGAGAATCTGAAGTAGTTTGGTGGGTGCATAGTTTCATGCTAGGCAGTTTATGTTTAATTATAGATGTTAAAGTACAAGTTCCTTTATAGGTAGTTATTACTCACACACACACTGAAGCTGCCGGCTTGAATTTGGAAGGGAGAAAGGGCTCTGTGGATGTGTGTGTGTCTGCATGTGCAATGTGTACCCTCACTCTCGCCTGTGCGCAGGTGCACCTGCAAAGTTGGTCAGTGTGGCCCCTTGAAACATTGTGCGATTTTGGGAACTGGACCCTCGTTTCCTGGCCAGCGGGTGTCATGTTTAGACCCCTCTTAGAGAATGTTGGGTGTGTACCAGTCGTCCCCGTAACACTAGACGTGTGGCTCTAAGCTTCAAAGCACTGACAAAACTTCACATCAGTAACGAAGGGGGTCACTTGTACCACTGGTGAGCTTTCCAGGCTGTAGTCACACTTTAGCTCTGCCCCACTCTCACTGTGAATGGATTTGCCGTAACTGGAAGGCAGAATTGTGATTGGTAGCCATTGCATGGCCTCTGGGATGAACTGGCATGCTACCCATGGTGCTCTGTTGTTTTGGGGCTCCTGTGATTGGCTCCAGACTCACACCAAGACCCTCTCCTGGAGAAGCCCCTATAAATCATTTGTGGATGGGAGTAGCTTCTGGTTACCGCCTCTGCCTACCTTCTCATAAACGCCAGCCACTTGGACCATCCTGCTGGGAACTGTATGCTTCTGTTCAGGTGCCAGTAGGTAATCGTGCTGAGATCTCAGACTTGGCCCAAAGTCTTTTGCCTTTGGGTTTTACTCGCAGACTGATATTGGAAGTATTAAATTACCACAACGGTTTACTTTGTTTTTTTTTTCTGTTTATAATTTTTTTCCTTTGTGTAATGTTGTTTCCATTGGTTTCACACGCACACCATACTGTCAACCATTTCAAATTACAATACATGTTTTAAACCCCATTCGGTAAGAATAGTAATAATGAACAATAGTCAATACCAGCAGCGTATTGCATTGGCACAGTTGATTAGCTCATTTCTCTACACATCTGTCCAGCATGTTTAGTCCTGACTTTGATTCCTTACCCGTCTATATGAAATTTCCTGGTATTCTAGGCCTACTGATCAGGTGGTATAACTGGTATGTTTGTCTCGTGTCTGTGGACTGCTTTCGACTGTGGAAAGGCTTTTCCGTGGCCCATCCACTGTGAAAAAGCAGCTGATCTCCATTTTGCCAGGGGTCCACTGTAGCCCACGGCGCACTGCGGGGTTGTCTCCCGGTGGGATGGCGTGAATTGTGTCCCAGAGGGTGCAAAGATTTGTCCTTTGTCCTTCCCCAATGAACCCATGTAAACACTAGTTGAGGTATTTATTAGGATCACATGTCCAGTGCAATATATAATTTTTGGTGCTGCCGTGGCTTGTTCTCTGGAAAAGCTCGTTTAATTTTTCCATACGCGCTTCCCCACGCATGTATTCTCCCTCAGTAGTTGAATCAGCCACCTACTCTCTATGTTACAGCTCAGAAGCTGAAGTAGTAGGTGGCCCAGTTTCCTTGGATGGAAAATTCATTCCCTGTTATGACGATCCTGTAAAATAGCACTTTAAAACTTGGTTTTAATGACATGGCAACATTTTATTATGTTAATGTGCTGTTGGCTAAAACTGTGAAAGGAATGACTTGGGTTTGAAACCCAGAAGCTTTTTCTGATAGCAGCAGTGTTAACCTTCTGTATTACGATCTAGCTTATTACAGATTTATAAAAGACCATTTTTTAAATTATCCGAGTGAAGTTTCTGTCATGGTAAATGATCATACGTGGCAGACGAGCGATTCACTTGAGGGATGTCAGCATCTGCGGCTAGAATGGCACCGCTCAGCTGGGCCGTCTAAATCTGTTGAGTATTCTCCGGAATGTTCAGACACAGCAGCTATTACAGTGGTTCTAGAATGCTGGGATGGAATAGCTGAAATGGTTTTGCCTCCAGTGGGTATTCCTGAGCCCGCCAAGCAGACCTGCTGGGGTTTGTCCAGGTATTGAGGGCCTCGAGGCTAGCCAGTGAGGCCATACTTTTCATTTTTTAAAAGGACACTCGCAGGAAACCCATTAAACATAGGTGCAATTTATTTCGAAAGGTTTATTTAGGTAGGGTTCATGGGTGTGGAATGATAAATGAATGCAACCATTCATTATTGCAATTTCATGGGCTATAGCCAAAGCCAGATGAAAGTGTGATATTACAAATGCCAGGCAGTTTGCCTCAGTCACATGATAAACTGTGGCTGGTCTGTATATGGAATCCCTGTGAGAGCAGTAGGAGTGTGAGCTCATCTGTGACACGTTTCTGTGGCTGCAGTGCTGTGCCAGTGCGGAGGGAGTGACTCGATCGATTACATGCAGAGCATCTCTTTCCGCCTGCGGTCTTTCTGGTGTGACGCTCTGTGTTTAATGGGGGGGGCAGTTAAGAGAGAAGGGAAAACTGGAAAGGTGACGGGTCCTGATATTGATTTGCACACTGGAATTGTTTCACCACAGACCATATTTGGCTTGCGATTTTTTTCCGTGCTAAGGTTTGACAATATTTGGTGTCTTTATCTGGCAAATTGCCTTTGATAGAGCACACGTCCGCAACTTGCCATGTGTACAGAAGCTGATGGTGATCTTTTAAACATGTGTCTCGTACTTAGATCTAGATTCGAAGTCAGGTAACACTGAACACACACATACACATGGCAGTGCAGCACTTTGACCACTGCATGTGCTGCTCGATGCCTACTGACTCCAGAGGGTAATATTACAAATCTTGAAAGAATATGCCACGAATCTGCTGAAACAAATGAAAGGGGTGTAAAGCAGTGCTGATCCCTTGTCTACAAAGTCTGACCCAGTAAGTAAAAATAGATGCCTTTGATCATCTGACCTGGGATCAGAATAATGAGTAGCTGGGCTACATTAATCTTACTGTGCAGGTGAAGAGGTCTCCTCATGTGTGCGATGGAACCTGGCAGCTGCCCATTTTCTGTTCTTTGTAGAACGTACTGGAGCTTCTGCCTTTTTGCACAGTTTATTTTGGTCTTTGATTTGCTCATCTTTTATGAATGTGCTTCTGGCTGTACCTGACCTTTTAAAATGGGGGGGGGGGGAATAACACTGGGGGTAGAAAAATGAAGCCAGTGATATAGTATATTGCCATACTCTTTAAGGAGTAACAAGCTGATGCTGATTTAACCTGAAGGGATTCCACTTGGAGTCCATGCAAGGCGAGCACGGGCTTGCCCTTTCCGCAGATAATCTATATACACTTACAAATGTCAAATTCTTGAGATTGTAAGCAGACAAACCTTCCCAAGGATGTGAGTGTATACCCTCATTTATATCTGCATCTGCATACTGTAGCTATAAGGCTATGCTCTGCTGGCAACAAAGGCTCGGGATTATCAGGTTATCAGGCTCTTTTACCCTCCCTCAGAACATAATGTACGTGGTGCGTGTTGTTGTTTGTTGCTTTGGTCGGCTGCTTAAGCACTGAGTTCACTTCAGAGTGACATCTGCTTTAATTTTTCTGGTTGTACACAGGCATGTGTGGTCATTAAAAAGCAGCACAATATATTGTCCCCAGTTGAATTTTTAATTGCTCGCATATCTATGCCACGATCATTTAATCTTTAAGGCATTATTATTTTGAGGATCAAAACAGTGAAATATATTTGCGGAAAGTTCCGTTTGTGTTTATCTCCAAAAAATGTTCATACTGTAGATGCAAAGGTGTTTGAAAGTGACACTAATTGAATTGATTTCTTGATATTAAAAGCTCAATTACATTTGAAAAAAAGCAAACTTGGAATAAGGGGTCCCATGAAGACCGAATTTCCAGAAGTTACATTTACGAATACAAGATAAGTACAATATTTTAAATTATAGCAAGCAGTATGTCTGTTATTTGCATTTTTAGGGACAGTTTTCAGGATAGAGAAAGTTTCCCTGCTGTAATGGACTATTCCTGCTTTCAGACTTCATGCTACCCAGCTTTGTTTTCACACTGGAGTCTCGTGGTAGGTGAGCGTCTGTTTCATTGCTAAGCCTGACCAGAAGAAAACAGTGCAAAGACTAACATTACATCTTCCATGTCTTTGTTGCTCTAAAGGGACAGTATCAGAGAGATTGTGAGCAGACGTAGATAGAACACAATTCAATGACATTCAAGGCTAACCTTTGCCTCACGGACAGAGTAAGATACTGCAGGCTATCCAAGGCTACAGCACAGGGCAGAAGAGGAGCACAGCAAAAGACGGAGTAATTAAACTTCTTAAATTTGCCCGATCAATCCGCTGGAAAGATACCCCCCTACCCCCGACTGACGAATGTTACCGATAGCAGTCATGCCCCCCACCCTGTTCTACCTCTGGCACCCTGCACTCTGGTTAGCAGATTATTGATGTTCCCTCATTTTTAATTCCCTCTCGTTTCTCTCAAATAGCTGCCTTAGGGGGCCCCCTATCCATGTCAGCCTAGGGCCCCTGAGGAGTTACTCCGCACCTGTTCAAGACGGCCTTTTCCCTGAGCCACCCGTGGTGTCCGTCTTCCTCCGTGCGGTTCCAGGAATAGGCTCCAAATCAGCATAACCTGGGCTGTAGGGGGCATTACTGAAAATAGGTCAAGGGATTCATACCAGCAGCCAAAAGGAATGACCAACGGGGCAGATCTAATGCAGTGTAGTCATGCCTCATAGTAAGGACACGAAGGGTCACTGCTGCCACTGGAATCCAGTGCGTAGCTGGCAGCACGTGTCTCCTTTTGCGCTTTAGGCTTGGTGTGTAGCCAGCACATATGTTGCAGGAATCAGCCTGCAAATAATTTTTAATGGTACTGGGTCGAACTCTTCATAACTGTTCTGAACCTCCAGCTAATCAGCTGACAGCTGTCATAGGAAACGGGAAGATTGTGAAGATGTTCCTCTAGCTTTCATTCCCCACAAGTTTGTTTTTTTTTTTTTGACCGCATGCTTGGGATTTTTTTTTTTATTGGTTTGACTGGCCCCAGGTTAGTTGGGACCCTGTACTGGATAAACGCTTGGAAGATCGCTGGATGGATGGATAGATGGATGGATGGATGGTTTGGTTCCCAAACTCCCCAGTCATGTTGTCCTACAAGCCCAATTCTCTGCACAATGTAATGTCTGTTCTTGCTGCATTTTCACTCCCATTTTTTCCCCGGCTTCTCTCTCGCCGTTTGGAATATCTTGGATCCTTCTCGGCCTACTGTTCTTGTGCTTTGATTGTCTCTTAAAACCTGTTTTTTGTGATGGAGATCAGGTTCTTTAAACACTAGAGGGACTCACAGCAGCAGCAGCAGCTAATGGAGTGCAGTAACCTTTTGTGCCTAGGGCACATTCATTGTTGAGAAATATATTTTAGGAAGGCCAGGCCCCCATTTGCCATGTGCCAGAGCCCTGAGTCACCTGTCCATTGTGTACTCAATCGCCATTGGCCAAGGCTCGTAATCATCCGACACCCAACATCCTGTGTCCACTTCGCTCCACTATTGGTTTGGGTCCCCATGCGAGGTTGTGATGTCACATGGATGTGCCTCTGGCCCACCACATTCTAGTCATTTTTTAAAGGATCAGCTTCCTAGCCCAGAGTGGCTTGAATCTCTGTAGGCTTCATTCTTTTGTGTCTCGCCATGGTAACGGGCCCAACTGCAGGGCCATGGATGCCATCCCATCACCGGAAAGAAGCAGCACGGTTAACAGGCCTGACCCAGCGGTCACTAACCAGTCGGCCTCCAGGGTAGAGTTCAGCTAGATGTATGGGGGCGTACGGCGTCAATGGCGAGGGCAGGGGGGCGCCAGCCCCCAGTGCGTGGGGACAGCGGAGGAACAGGCCGGCCAGTGCGCTTTGGCTCGGCTCCAGCCTGGGTTTGTTTGCTTTGCGGGGGGTTGTTGACGGAGGCCACAAGTTCACTTGAGTGGGTGGCTTCAGGGGGCCTTGTGTAGGAGGTGGATCGATTCATTTTAACTTGCGGTAAATGTATGCATCTACCTTCAATGGCGTGGGCTGCAGATGTGTGCTCAATTGGGGGGGGCGCATCCGCACATGGGGCCCCGTCTGCAGGACGATATGAGATGAGGACGGCGCTCTGTGTGCCCAACCCCCGCCATGCAGGATCAACACCCCTGCCGCTTATGTAACACCTACCCCTCCTCTCTCATCACCCACTTGGTCACTCTTACGGCAAATATAATTCCTTTTCCCTGTCCATTCATGGTAAGAAGTGTATTTGTTTTGAGACTAGCAGGTCCTCTGCTGCTGTCGTACTGCTGCCCTGCACCTGTCTTTCCTTCCCGTGCTTTGGTGCCTAGGCTCCCGTCTGCCTGTGTATGTACGTCTCTCTGCATTTCTTGGTCCACTCCCCCTAGTGCTCACAATGATCTCCATCTTCCTAGGTGGTCCGGGCACGCCTGGAGGAGAAGGGCATGGTGGTCCGGGACGTGAAACTCAATGGGTCAGCGGCCAGCCACGTTCTCCACCAGGACACAGGCCTTGGCTACAAAGATCTGGACCTGATCTTCGGCCTGAGGCTGGCTGACGACCGGGCCTTCCGTCTGGTGAAGGACGTGGTGCTGGACTGCCTGCTGGACTTCCTACCGGTTGGTGTCAACAAGGAGCGCCTCACGCCCCTGACTCTGAAGGAGGCCTACGTGCAGAAGCTGGTGAAGGTCTGCAACGACACGGACCGCTGGAGCCTCATCTCGCTCTCCAACAACATGGGCAAGAACGTGGAGCTCAAGTTCGTGGACTCGCTGCGGCGACAGTTCGAGTTCAGCGTGGACTCCTTCCAGATCGCCTTGGATTCGCTGCTGCTCTTCGACCGCTGTTCTGAGACGCCCATGTCGGAGAGCTTCCACCCCACCGTGCTGGGCGAGAGCATGTATGGAGACTTCCAGGAGGCCCTGAGTCACCTGCACAACAGGACCATCGCCACGCGTAGCCCCGAGGAGATCCGGGGTGGTGGCCTGCTGAAATACTGCCACCTGTTGGTGAGGGGCTTCCGCGCGGCCTCCGAGGCGGAGATGAAGTCGCTGCAGCGCTACATGTGCTCGCGCTTCTTCATCGACTTCCCTGACATCGGCGAGCAGCAGCGTAAGCTGGAGGCCTACCTGCAGAGCCACTTCGCAGGCATGGAGCACAAGCGCTATGAATGCCTGGTGACGCTGCACCGCGTGGTCAACGAGAGCACGGTGTGCCTGATGGGCCATGAGCGGCGGCAGACGTTGGGCCTGATCTCGGCGCTGGCACTGCGGGCACTGGCTGAGCAGAACGTTATCCCCACTGTCACCAACGTCACCTGCTACTACCAGCCGGCGCCATACGTGCGGGACGTCAACTTCAACAACTACTACGTGGCCCGCGTGCAACCGCTGGTGGCCTCATGCAATAACTCATACCAGACCTGGCTGCCCTGCAACTGACCCGGCAAAGCCGAGCCAACAGACTGCTGGGATAGGCGTCATGTGACATCGGGGTGGGGGGGGGCTCTCTTTGGTAAGCTCAGTGTTCAACAGCAGTGATTTATATATATAAAGTTTATATTTTTCCCATTTTGAAGCAAAAAGATACTAAAAAAAAACATGTATTTGCTAAATGTGACTTTTTCTGTGCTTAGTTGAACTTTACTGCTGTATATCTCCTTTGAACCACAAAAAAACTTTTTTTTTTTTTGGTCTTGGTTGTACAATTGCAAGCCCTTTTTATGTGTACGTAGAGGGGTGGATGACATGGGGGGGCATTTTTGAAGTAGCTTTTTCTTTGTGTTTATTGAAATGAATGTTGAAAGAGACTTAGAGATTTGTATGTTTAAGAGAGGGAATGCGAGGGGATTTTGAAGCTGTATTCTTTTTAGATTGTGGTTTCAATGGATCCTTTCCTCATATATGGGATTCTAAAAGGACCAAAGATTTATATTGTTTTACAAAAAGGGAAATTACTGTTGTGATTCCAAGTGCCTAAAACAACCAACTTAAAAAATAACCTCTTTAAAGTAATAGTGTTGTATAGAGAGTATGATCTTCTATATTACTGTAAGTCTCTATTTTCAAAGACTGAGGTGTTCATTTTCAACCGATTTGAAAAAAAGAAAAAAAAATTAAAACCCCAAACTTTGTGTAGTCTCAGTACTGTCTACATGTTCATAATGTTGCATTACAGACATGATCAGACATGTACGTAGAACATATGTACATAACTTGAAATTTGAATACTTCATATCAGTTTGCGTGTATATACAGTATCTCACAAAAGTGAGTACACCACTCACATTTTTGTAAATATTTTATTATATCTTTTCATGGGACAACACTGAACATATGACACTTTGATACAATGTAAAGTTGTCAGTGTACAGCTTGTATAACAGTGTAAATTTGCTGTCCCCTCAAAAGCCATTAATGTCTAAACCGCTGGCAACAAAAGTGAGTACACCCCTTAGTGAAAATGTCCAAATTGTGCCCAAAGTGTCAATATTTTGTGTGGCCACCATTATTTTCCAGCACTGCCTTAACTCTCTTGGGCATGGAGTTCACTAGAGCTTCACTGGTTGCCACTGGAATCCTCTTCAACTCTATACACACACACACATGTAGGGTAAACATATCCTTATGGGGGCTGCTTATTCATTTCAATGGGAAAAATGCTAACGCTAACTATGACAACCTTAACCCCTACCCTGCCCTAACCATAACCATAAGTAACCTAACAAAATACAAGAGTTTTTGCATTTTTAGTTTTTTCATAGCAGTCACCGATTTTTATAAAATAGAGTTTGGATATTTATCACGTTATGGGGACATTATGTCCCCATAAGGATAGGTAAACCCGCTCACACACACACATACACACACGGAGCATTATGGTAAAATTAACGTAATTTAACTGCAAAATAACATGCTGTACTTATTAAAAGAAGTATACTCGGTTCCAGCTACATATTCATACGCTTCTGAAATTTATTGCAAAAATGTATTCCTATTGAGACGGCCTTATTAACTTCTCTGCATTATTCATTGTTGTGGCACACGACACAGAAATAACTCAAAGTCTTATATTTTCGGTGTACATTTGCCAGCTGGCCTAATGAAATGCGCTGGCGGGTGTCGGGGTGAAGCTGAGGCCGTCGCGGAAGCCTTTGTGACAGACGCCTGTCTGCAGACCACCTGCACCTCTGGCTCTCCACACGGGGACTCGTTTTTGTCACGGAGCGAAGCAGCACCACAGCGCTGTGCCTAGTGGAAGCCGCACGCTCCTGTCCGCCGTCTCTCTCCTGCCGCTTCTCCCCGTTTATGGGCATCTGCACGTTTGTTTGTGTAAAGCTGTCCCAACAGCAGCAGAGGCATGTCGCCTGCTGTTTGCCCTCACGCTTGCATGCTTTTGTGCTGAGCGTGGGCGTGCGGGGTTGCTGGGGCAGTGCTGCGAGACGTCCGCGCCCAGCACGGGACGCCCTCCTTTTCATGTTCACGCCTGTAAGTCTGGCTAAAACCCCCTGAGAAGCGAGACCCAACATCTGAGGTCCAGGGGCGAGCAGGAAGCAAAAGCCGACTGTAGATCTCAGGGCCTGAGTGGCCGGCTGGACACACTGTCTGGTGGACCAGGTCTGGCACCTCGAATGGGGCAGCTCACCCAGAGCGGCCCTGAACGGGGGAAAGAGGCTACAGCGTCACAGAAATGTACATTTTCATGTGGAAATGCCGTTGCATTTTTGTCTTCTATTGGTGACGAATCAAACTCAAAGCCAGATGAGTCCACTTGTCAGGGGACACCCTGGGTGGGATGCCAGTCTATCACAGGGCACAAGGCAGGGGACACACTGGGCAGGATGCCAGTCCATCACAGAGCATGAGGCAGGGGACACACTGGGCAGGATGCCAGTCCATCACAGGGCACAGGGCAGGGGACAAACTGGACGGGAT